GTTGTATAGAGGATTTTCCAAGGAACGTGAAATCCAGCGACTGTTTGTCCTTTTTCAAATGTTGCGCATGCGTGAAACCCCCCCCCCCCCCCCACAGCTCCTACGGAGAAACGCCTCCTCCCTCCTCCTCTTTACGCCAGAAACAGGTTTGTTTACAGCCGGTGAACTGCACATGACTCGTAAACAACTAACTACAGTGTTGGTTAGACAAGACGGAGAAGTGAGGAGCGGGTGTGCAGACATTTCGTTCGCGGACGAGAAGTGAGGAGCAGGGAGAAGAGTGGATCGGGCAGTGGGGACAGGAGCAGTAAGGGGAGCAGAGAAGGTTGCGCGGAGATTCAGTGCGAATGAACTAACTACAACACGCAGCAGCAGGTGGACTCTTTCTTTGCATTGAAAATGACGTTTTCAGACATAGGATATCACTTTCGTGTCCTGAAAAACATTTGTCTCCCTCTTGGAAATAAAGTAGGTTTTCATAATAAGCAGAAGTTTCCTGTCCAGGAGTAATTTGTGGACCAGTGGTTCAGTCTTTAGACCCTTCGTCTGCTTCAGTCGCGCCATCGCTGGAATGAATCTCCAAGAATCACCTTAGTTTGTCTTCGCTGCTTTTCCCCTTGTCTTCTTCTTTCACCTCAAAAACGGACTTTCTTTTGCGGTGAACTGCTCCTGGATTCTTGTCGCCATCGCAACAAACTTTGTGTGAACTGCGAGGAAGATATAGGTCAAAAAAAGCCTCTAAGAACTGTTGCGTTGGTGGAGTAAACAGCGTCTGTGCGTCTTGCGTCTGTGGACTGTGTGACAGTCGTACATAAACCACGTACCGGCGGCGCAGGCAAGTCAGTTACACTAGAAACGTAGGGAGTTTGATTGACAGCCTGTCAGCTCACAGATAACGAGGCAGTGTCTTTATCTATTGGCAAATGTTTAGCCCCACCACGTCCAGAGTTGATGAATTTTTATTCTCTTTTTTTTGGTCATCATAATTACAAGGCGACTGCATCTATAATCTATCACTGACAATTTGAAACTAAAAAAATCCTCCATACAAACTTTAATGAATGAATGGTACGGAAGTGGAGGAAGCGAACTAATTCAGTGCTTGCCATCGTTCCGGGTGGATTAACTAAAGAACTTCAGCCGCTAGATGTTGGTGTCAACAAGACGTTCAAAGTGAAAGTGCGAGCTACGTGGGAGCAGTGGATGAGAGAAGGTGAACACACATTCACCAAGACAGAGAGACAGCGGCGAGCGACTTCACACCAAAGCGCAACGGTGCGTAAGCGCAGCAGCACAGCACACGAGCAGCAGACGCGCAACTTTAGAACTCCATTTTAACCGGTCTGACAGTTCACACGGACAGTGTCATACGCACGTCCAACGAGCGCCTGACGCTGACGCGCTGCTCCAGAGGTTGGAGTTCTAATTTTGCAGCGTCTCCAAGGTTTTCAGCAGGGGAAAGACAGGAAATAAACACGCGGTGTCAAAATAAACTTCGGATGCCCTTTCAAAATAACTTAACCAAAGTCAAGACAGCGACGTAAACAACGAGCTGTGTCCAAGGAAAGGTTCATGATGGACAACGAAAAGTTAATCCTCGAAGTGAAGAAATATAACATAATTTATGATGTCAGACACCAATTCTTTAAGGACTCAGGACTAAGCCAGGACTAAACCAGAACCAGGACTCACTGTCGGAATGTGCTCGGAGGTCCTTCGCCCTGAGTGACCGCGGATGAAAGGACCGGTGCAGAGCTCGAGACGAGGAGGCACGTGAAGCGGTCGCTCTTTTCGGACACCTGCTCCCCGGGGCTCATGGTTCGCTATCTGTCTCTCTCTCCAAAATGAGTCCTGGTTTAGTCCTGGTTTAGTCCTGATGTAGTCCTGGTTTAGTCTTGACCCGCCCTTAAAATTCCAGAACGTTAAAACTCGCCTGTTTCAGGGACTATTTGCCCGTATCCATCGGTGCAGGACTCTGTATCAACATATAAACCTATCGGTCTTATTACCTGGACGGAGATTTTAATCACACTCATAATGTTTGTTAATTATAAGTGATTTCACCTTATTAAAGAAAAAAATAGAAAACTGAGGTGTTTAATGTTTGTGCTAATAGATTTAAACCTCATTAAACACAAATGCGTCGCAGTTGTACACTTAATTCATAATACACATTCTGACTTAATACACTTTAACATAAAATAAATGATAAAAAGCAAGTACAAAATGTGATGTCTGAAAACAGTGAGAAGATGTGCAGCTGCAGCAGGAGCGTCTCTGATGCTCTGATGTGATTGAAATTTTGAAATTTACGCTTACGCGCAGCTCCGCCTGCGTTAAGCGCTGCTGCAGCTCCTGGTGTGAATTCTGGGTAAAGCCACGATCTGCCAACGGTTCGTGGACGCCCGGGCTAAGGGTCAGGATCAACTGTGGTCCGAGCTTTCACCAAGACCAGAATCATCACTGAACTGAACTCCAGGGAACAGGAACCACACTGACT